CTGATCTGCAAACCCCCTTCTCTCTAGCCTTGAAAGCTCACCATGACATGAAGCCTTCCTCTACAATATCTGCTTTGTAGCCCTTCAGAAGATGTCACACAGCTGACAGACTTCCTGTAGAACTCTCAAAGCTGGAAGCTCATACACAGACCCTAAATTTCCCACCATCTTGTTCAACCTGGGGAAGAGAAGGCTCCAGGGAGAACCTAGAGCAGCTTCCAGTGCCTAAAGGGGTCCATAAGAATGCTGGAGAGGATTTTTTACAAGGTCAGGTAGGAATAGGACAAGAAGGAATGGCTTTCAACTGAAAAATGGTAGATTTAGGTTAGATATTAGGCAGAATTTCTTCCTTGTGAGGGTGGTGAGGTGCTGGAACAAGTTGCCCAAAGAAGCTGTGGCTGCCCCATCCCTGGCAGTGTTCAAGGCCAGGCTGGACAGGGCTTGGAGCAACCTGGTCTAGTGGAAGGTGTCCCTGTCCATGGCAGGGGGTTTAGAACTAGGTGGTCTTTAAGGGCAGGGAGTTTGGACTAGACAATCTCTAACCATCTAACCATAATGATTCTGTGATTCTGTCCTTTCCAACCTAAACTGTTCTATGTTTCTATGATAGGATGCTATGATCTAGCTGTAGGCAGACTCCTCTCCCCCCAGCTTCTCAGTGGCACACAACCTCACTTGTGCCTGAACTGTCTGGGATGCCCTGGGGGAAAGCTGTGAAAAAAAGAAATGTCCAAAGGGTGCAGTGTGTTTTTATTTGTGCATATTTCATGACCCTGTTGCCATGGGCTGTGCTACAGCACAAAATGAGCCTTTTCCACTGACATCGAAAATCCCACAGAAGTCTTAAAACCTGTTACAATACACCAGACTTTCCTGGCACTCTTCTACACTTGATGGCAGCTCTGCATTGAGGTAAAGAGGCACTCTGCTCCAGATAACACAGTAGGTGGGGTTGGAGTAACTTGAGAGCCTTGTTTCCTCATCTGGCATGAAACTGCCTCCCCTACCCTCATTCCCCTATCCTGCAGCCAACACTTGATTTTTATTGCTGGGCTGGTTGTCATGGGAACAACCTAAAAAGAGGTAAGGTAATGTTGCAAGGCTAAATATAAGCAAAGCATTGAAAGAACTTAGGCTTAGGACTCCCTTGTGACTGCCCTCAGAGCTCGTATAGCACTGCTGCTGAAATGGGACCCAAGGAGGGTGTTCAGCTGCAGGAGGCCACTGTGATTTACAATTATGGGGACAAACAAGCAGGAAAGGGCTTACCTGGTTTGAGAGAACTTCCAGTCTGATAGACACAAGGTGGGTGGCAGGGTCTCAGGGAAAGGAAGAATGTCTTATTTTGTATTTGTTCAGAGCAGGTGGAAGTAGTACCCCTATTCACTGTTTAGTAGGATGGTTTCTTAGGATGGTTCACAGCATAGCCTCCTCTTTTCCAGTACCACTCACATCACCCTTCCTAATGCTACAGATTAAGTGGAAGACCTTTACAACAGAAAAATAAAAATTATTGGGAAGAGAATAGGAAGGAGATACCATGGGTATCTTGTCCCAGGGAATATGTGGAAGAGAAGGGTCCTCATTGTCCTGTGAATACATAATGTCCTAAATAGAAATAAACATGAAGGATTGGGATGATAATGATGCAAAAATTCCTTCCCTAGAAGGTTTTAAGCAGCAAATGAGGGTGAATGCTGGAATAAGAATTTAGCTCATGACAAAGGAGTGTGACAGCAGAGCACGGCTACATCAGTGAAGATGCATCTGTTGGTCTCGGGCACTAAGCACAGGCGAACTGTTCTGAGATGCCCCAGAAGGGGGCAATCATGTACATACAATCTAGAAGACGACAGCTGCTCACTTCTCCTTGGGCTTTTCAGCATCTTGAAGGACCTAACAATTTCCAAGACATTCAGTTGAAATCTCCCTTTGGCTCTGAAATGTTGAAGTGTTTGAGTAAGTCTGCAAATGGTGTTGGTCGTGGCTACTTCTGAAGGCAAAGGTATATTTTTTTTTTTTTTAGATCTTTAATAAATTTGTACCAAGACTCACTCACATCATCGTAGGTCAATCTCATGGTGAGGTCATCTTAATGTGCTGGTGATTTTCAGTGAAGTATCTGTCTTGCCTAGTGGTGTTGGTATTTAAATCCTGCTCTGGAGGAGACTGCAGATACCAATGCTAGCCAAACAGGAAAAAGCCTAGTTCTTGGGAAAAAAAAAACAAGTATCGTAATACAGGACAGGTGCCACATTTGTGATTTCACGATTCCCTGAAGTTATGTCTGCACAGATATGTAGCACAGGCCAAATGTGCCCAGTTGTTCTGTTTTGTTCAAGTTGAACAAACAACTTTTTGTTTGTTCAAGTTTTCTGGGTTCACCTTTGTAATATAAACTATTAATTTCACAAGGCTGTCTACTGGAACATGAAGGTTAAAGGATCTGACTTGTCTATATGTCTTCTCAGGACAGAGGAGTTACGGTGTCAGCAACCAGAAATCAGGAAGAAAGAAGGATGGTTGGCAAAGATTTTCTCTTCTCTAAGCCCTTGTCCTCAAGGAGAACAAGGTGGAATAGAGTTTATCTTCTTACCTGGTAACTCTGCAGAGCTACCAGAGTTGCAGGGGGTGTGTTTGTGTGGGTATGTGTGTGTCAACAGTGCAGAGAGTTGTTATGTGCTGTCGTGATTTTAACAAAAATTTCCAAGTGGATGTGTCTTTACATCTGTCACAAGTCTTTCAGACTTATGACATCTTAAAAATTGGGCTCCAGGGAACAGAATGTGTTTTCTGAGAGACATGAAATATTTTTGGTGCTAAGGTGATGAGTGTTCTGTACGTGTCTGGGAGATCTTCTCCAAGAAAGACTCACCAGGCAGCATCTGCATCACTTATCGAATTACTCCCCTTCTCATGTTGCAGAAATGTTGCTCTGAAGCACATGTACTAAGAAGAAAGAGAGTTCATTTACATCCTGTGTTTTTCCAGCACTTCTTGCTTCAGTCTGTGCTCCCTAGACTCAAATATTCATTGGCCCTGCAACACCTAGCGGTTAGGTACCATTTCATGAGGTAACCAAATCCTTGGTGGAACAGAAGCTTTAAACTCACATTTCAGGGAGTGTGGGATTATTAGAAGGATCTTCAAATGTCTGCTTCTTTGTAGGAATGATGTGGTATGGGGCCATAGAGGCCACTGGTTGGCATCCTCCCTGCAGAGATGCTTTTATGACTCCACCCTCGCTTTTCTCTCTTGAAAGTGGATGCTAAGACCAGTCATATGTCCCTCTATCAGCTGGCCAGGTTTATGCACACTGTTTTGTGTGGAAAGAAATGGAATATATGACTAAGAAAAGCAACCCTGACTATTCTGAGTGGCAAATTACTTCAGTTGTAACCAGCCCTCTGAGCAGCTCTCAGTTTGTAGACAGCTCTGGGTTCAAGCAGTTGAATGAAATGCAACAGCCCACATGTGAGATGCTGAGGAGGAGCTCTGAGGGTATTAATGGTGTCTCAGCAGTGGAGTTAAGCACCTAAAAAAACCAGCAGGGCTATTGGGTGTAGGAACTACAACTCAAGCGTTCTTCAGGGCTGCATTCATTGGGACTGTAACCAGCCATCCTGACTGTGGGGCTGCATCTCAGGGGTCAGCTCTTCTGGTAAAAGCCACACACCGTGTCAAAGGTATTGTTTTTCTCCCATTTAGGCAAGTTCCCCAGACTGTGACCTCATTTATGCTGTAATAACATCTCAAAATTAGCAAGCATCCTCCATGGGGATTTGAGGACATTTAGCACCTTTTAGAGGGGACTGAGATTTTGCCAGGCCTGGCCCTAAAGCTTTATTTTTCTACCTGGACACCTTTTTGCAAACATTTTGCAGAAGCTGTCAGTAACCTGGTAGGAAGACGGTTGTTACCAATTTGGTTTAACAGCTCCTTGTGGTTATTTTTTAACTCTGCACCTTAATTGAAGTGGAAAATAGAAATTCCTGTCAGCAGGTGTGCATCTGCTTCTGAAATCTGCCAACATCACATGGCATTCATCATGTCTTGCAGACTGGCAGATCCCTGAAGCCTTTCCCAGAAGCTCTTGTTGGTGAAGGATGGTACAGACACTTCTGCAAGCCCTCTCCTTATGAAGATCTATATGAAGCTGTGGTAGCAATTAGGAATGAACTGGTGGGAAGAAAGATATTCTGAGATCACAGCAGGATTTATAAGGGTATTTTTTCACAGGCTCCAAACAAGTAATTTTTATAAACTTCGCAAAACAACTAATGTAAGGTCTTGTGTGTGACTATTGAAGAGCTTTCAGGACATGTCTGTCTCTGCTATGAATCTACTGAATGGTCTTCAGTGACTCATTTTGCATCCCCATGCCTTTGTTTCACCATCTATAAATTAAGGGTAATTGTAATGATTTCCTTGCTAGTGTTTTGAGAAGTATTTACAATACAGTTCAATACACAAAACCATTGGCAATCAGTGTTTCTCTCCCCTCTCCAAATACATCTGCGTGCTTTTCATTTAATGTGCCTGCACCAACGTGTGGAAAGCAATACGGTCTGTGTAGTGATTTTCAGAAGGAAAAGAGTGGAAGCAAAAAAGAAAATGAAAGAGAGAGCTCCAAGAATTGCAGTTTGGAGTTGCCTGGTTGTGTTTCTAATACTACATCTCCCACTGGTGAGGCTCTGGAGGTAGAAGCTCCTTCCAAACCTCCCTGAAAGGGAAAAAAGCTGCTGTCAAGAAATACATTTTGGTTAATTTTAATGAATTTGATGAAAACTTATTATCCTGGGTTTTTTGTTTTTTTTTTTTGTTTGCTTGTTTGGTTGTTTTTTTAGCAAAGTTTTGAAGCAAGCCAGGCTGAGTTTGGGTACGTTATGCCAGATATCTAAAGAAAGAGCTTTCTCTGTGAGGTTTGTGTAATCTGGAAAACCGATTCTGTACATGGTGTGTAGATCCAAGTACTATATTCTTTGAATTAGGAGATGTGAGAGGCTGGCACAAGAGGTTATGTGCTAAAGGAATGGCCATGCTCTGAGGTTACAGAGATGAGTCATGTCTCCATGAAGGAAGCCCTTCTCTATGAGGGCACTGTGGTCTGTGTCCATTTTTGTTAACATGCTTGCCAAGTGTGGTGAGTGGCATCCTGCAGAGTGAGGGAAGACAAATCATGGTACAAGGGCACACAATGCAAACTCGGCTGGGAGAACTTGAACTGGAGAGTTGATGTAGGTGAAGCTTACACTAGATAATTCTCATGCATTTATCAGAGTTGGATTATCCCAGTTCAAGCCATCTTCAGGCTGCTGTAATTATGGATTGTCACTGTGATCTAGAGGAGGGTCATCTAAAGGAAACCTTTGAAAAACAGTGTTGTTGGAGCCTTCCTTGATATTGACTTTATTTTGGGGCTTAGATCTTGGCAGTGCTAAAGCCAGTGAAGGGTTTTACTATTGGCTTCAGAGTGGTTAGGCCATAAGGTTTTTTCTTAAGGAAATTTCTAGGCTAGAACACAAAACAGAACAGTAGTGTAAAGGGGCTGCTTTTTTCTATAATTGCCTTCATTGCTGACATTCTATTTTTCTTCAGTCAATCAACTCCTGCCTTAATTACACTTTAGAGAACCTATGGACACCAGTATTTGCAGAGCTGATTCCCAGAAGCATTTGCAAATTTGCCTTGTTTTTAAATGGGCTGAATTGTGTTGCCTGTTAAAATAAATGCACTTGTCAAATCCCTTTCTTCAACAGCCTTGCCTTACACCTTGCCTTGACAGTGTAATAATGTCTGTAAAAACAACCTAAATGCCACTTTCTACCTACAGCCACTTCTCAGTCCTCAAATGAATGGCAAGAAGGGGGTGGGGGAGAGAGAAATACTAAACCTGCATGCTGGGATAAGTGTCATAAGGCTAAGGAGCCTTTGGCATCACTCACAAAGACTGGTGAGACTAGGACAGCTGTATGTACTTAAGAAAATGCTGGGGGAAAAGAACCTAAGAGGAACTGATGGAAATACTCTATGCAGATTATTAAGAAGAGAGGAGAAACCATTTATTTGTTTGCTGTTGTGAGGTTTGTGGCTCTGGAAGGGATGCTCTGCTTGGCACCTGACGGATCCCCTGAGTGATGTGCTCTGCCCAGAAGTTGGATGTGTCTGGTCCAGAAATTTAAGAGTTAAATAACTTCCCATTGCTGAGTGGGATACAGGAACAACTTTTCCTACTGCATCAGCAGCTGCCAACAGAACTCAGTGACAACTTTATAAATCACACCTGAAGCAAATAAGAATGCTGTGTTCGAAATGAGCCCTTATCTCTTCTTGTTTGCACTTGGCTATTTTGTTTCTAAAGGTCATGGGTGGAAGCAGAAGGAGCAGCCACAGGGTGATGTATGTTGCCTTTGGCACTAGGTGATTAATTTGCTGTTAGGGCACAGTAACGTGAAAGTGAATGGCAGAAGCTGGCGCGAGGGATGGAAAGAAGAGGTGAAAAAAGTTATGAAGCAAGCATGTTAAAGAAAAGTGAGGGGAAAAAAAAATAAGAGATGCATCTGCACAGCCTCCAAAACTCATGTAGCTGTTGAGGAAAATGGGAAAGACAGATGAAAATCAATTATTTCAGCCAGCTTCTGTCTTCTTTTTTGGTAAATGATGGAGAATCACTTACTTCTGTGTCCAGAAGGGGAAGATTTCCTTTTACCTGGTACTTCTCAGTTGCCATCTCTATCTAGCTCGTACACTTGCTGCTTACCTTATCAGGGGTCACTGTAATAAAAATGCCATATTTACTCATGTAATCCCTAACCTTTCAGCCTGGAAAAGTAGTGGGAAGTGGGAGGGGAGCTATTACAGAGCAGCAGCCATTATACTTACTAATAAGGCAATAAAAGAGTTCACACCAGAGGTCTGAACTTACTCTTAAGGTAATAGAGAGTTCAGATATCCATGCAGTTCCTCTAAAATATTCTTCCTGGGCTGGGTCATCACTTTTGGAAGGGCATTTGATGATGCAAATCTAATTTGCCTTCTTGTGAAATTGTTTTAGTGGTTAATACCCCAGACTCTAAAAAATCAGGGATTTAGTTGAACCTGAATATTCTGAACTTTAGCTCTTTGTCATTGGATCTTGCTATGTGTCTACCTGATAAGCTGCAGCATCTGCCTGTAGTTGGACAACAGCAACACAGGACAAAAATCTCAGCAACCAGGTCCTAATACACAATGATTCTTTGAGCTACATGCTCTCTGTCACAAAAATCATTTTCCTTATTAAAAGAAAAAAAGCACAAACAAACAATTTGCATAAGGTTTCCTGGCAAGTTCTGGTGTTGAAGCAATCAAGCAAGCACAAGAAAGACCATTTTAATATATGTCAAATTGGACACTGCAAACCTTAGTCACCTGAGAAAATTTAAGGCAATTCTTGTCCAGCTCAGGAACTCAAAGCACTTTGAAAACATGAAGGAATTAAACCACGTGTCCTGTCTGAGGTAGGTGAAGTATTTTTATCCCCATTTTACGGCTGGGTAAACTCAGACAGTGAGAGGTTAAGTGACTTGTTCAGTATCACAGCTGGTTGGGGAATGGAAGAGGTGAAACCACTGGCAAAGGCTGACCTGTAGAGTGTGTGTGTTTATGTGTACGTGAGCAAGAGTTTCTTCCCTAAAAGCACATAACTCCATGTCCTGGGTTCAGCAGTAGCAGTCATTACCATGACACTCCATTTTACTGGTTTAAAGCACATGCCTTTTGCAGGGGGTAGAAATGGAGCCTGTGGATGAAAAAATCAAGATGAGGTCAAACAGGAACACAAGGACAAGCTGGCACAATAGTAGCTGGTTAAAAGGATTAAGGAGTGGGCTGTGTTGTAGAAACAGGAAACAATGTCTCTTTCTGACTTGGTTGGAATTAGTTCAAAGTGCCCTGCATGGGATATAAAAGTCCTGGGCTTAGAGGGGAGCGGGCAGGCCCAGCATACATGTTTAGATGTGACCCAGCAGAGCTAGAAGTAGGATAGAGCAGTAGTTCGAGCCAAGACTCTAAAACTAAGGAGCTGAAATCCAATTCTTTCCCTCTTTTGATGCCTTCTTGGGTGAGTTGAGCAAGCAACTCTCAACAGGAATCATCTGCTTTCTGTTAGAAGTAAAAAATGGGCATAAATCAGCTGCCAACCCATGGCCAGAGGTCACTGGAGATGCCAAAGAGGGTGGGAGTTTGATACGGGTCTGGCAGATGCAGCACAAGACTTACAGGTAATCCAGCCCTCTGGAGGAGTAGCTAGCATGTTGACACTCCATGGCCTACCAAATGGTACTAGGTGCCTATTTAGGCACCTGAATCTTCCCTTTTACTGTATGAAGACCACACAGGTCAGTGTCTCCATTTGAACTAGAGATATCCATGTGTGTATGGCCAATTGCACTGAGACTGAAGAGTAAAAAGGCAGATGCAGACTGCAGCATGGATGGAGCCAATGTTTAGTAATAGGTGGCTGATATGCGTGCTGGTACCTCAGGGATGTGATCCAGTCTGTCTGTATGTACACGTGATGGCTGTCACTGCCTTGGGAAGATCACCATAACATCACAGAGATAGCTAGAGGAATAAAAAGTGTCAGAAGCCAAGGAACAATTGTCAAACAGGGCACCAATACCAGACTGAATCTCAGTTTTAATTCCAAGATCATTGGTGAAATTTATGCAAAACTGAGGTTCTTATGATCATGGAACCTGGTATGGCGGAAAACAGGTGCTTGTCAAAAAAGATAACCCCAAAAGATAACCAAGGAATACTAGAGTGGAAAGCAGGAAGCACAATTAAATGAATACGCTGAAGGTTTACATTTTGCCTGGGCCATTGTGTTATGATCTTTACCAGATATTTAGGGGTAGAAGGAAAATACTATTGCACCAAGCTAAGTTTCTAAAGGTCCATTTCCAACCCTTGCTTCTACTCTAGAGGCTGTGATGTGATCCAGCATCCAGTCTGGAAAAAGAATATGCTGATTTTAGTTCTCTTTTCCCACACTTTCTTTATATTGCATACTCATCCTATGCAGAAATTATTTTTACATGACATCCAAGATGTCCATTCAGCTGGAACTATAATTTACATAAATTATGAATTATACTGCACATACGAATCATTTGACTTACGGTCTGTGGTTTTCACTCCTCTCTTCTACTTGGTTGCTTTTTCAAGGCTATCTCCTACATGAACCTGCAAATTCCAACCCTGACTTCATCCACCATCCTCCCACAGTGATGTCAGTTTGCTACTATGGAGACAGTGACATCACTAGAATGTCCAGCAGATGACAAATTTCAGGTGATGGAAAACCAATACACGCTTCTCTGAAATGCAGATCCTGTTTTATTTTCCATGCTTGTTCTGAACTGAAATCTGAAATTGTGCATTGTAGAAGAAATATCCTACTTTGGACAGAGAAGAAATATTTGGGTTTGTGTGTTTTCTGCATGTCTGCCAAATCAGTCAGAGGGCAAGATAAATTCTTAAACCAACAGTCCAGGGAGAGCAAGAGGCAGCTTCAGCAGGTGATTTACTGAGTACATGAAGAACAATGTTCACTGGAAGTACCATCTCTCCTTGGCTGTAGAACAATCTTAGGAGCTTGTTTCAGTTGTCAGTGAATAGCAGCAGCCAGTTGGGTTCCTTCAGGTGTGCAACATGCACAAATTGCTGACAGACCTAACACAAGGCCCATGGGAAACCTTCATGAGCTGGTGAGCAGCCAGACTGTCTGAGGACATGTCAAATGGCCCTATGTGTGAGCAACTGAATCAGACAGACCCCTGATGACTCACCTAAAATCCTACAAAAGGACTGTGGCAGTAAGCCCTGGTCTGTGCTCTGTTAGATGTTAAACAACATCTCTGCTCCTAGCTCTGTAATTCCTGTCAACTTTGGATGAGTATCTCTGAACCCTTCTCTCTGGCAGAGGCCATATTCTTACCCAAAGAAAGATGGTTCAGAAAACCATCTGAAAGAAATCTCAACAATCATAAGCTGTACTTCACATAAAGGAAGCATCAAACACAGAAATTTTACCATGGCAAATATTCATATATAACTTGTACTCTAGTAACAAAGGTTCCATGCCTTCTCCAAAGTGACATATCCTTTCACTGTATTACAGGTGGCACTAGAAAGCTTTTTCCAAAGACAATATACCTAAAGGAGGCCTACAAGAAAGCCGAAGAGGGACTTTTTACAAGGACATGTAGTGGTAGAACAAGGAGAATGGCTTTACACTGAAAGAGAGGAGATTTAGTTAGATAAAAGGAAGAAGTTCTTCCCCGTGAGGGTGGTGAGGCCCTGGCACAGGTTGCCCAGAGAAGCTGTGGCTGCCCCATCCCTGGCAGTGTTCAAGGCCAGGTTGGACAGGGCTTGGAGCAACCTGGTCTAGTGGAAGGTGTCCCTGCCCATGGCAGGGGGTTGGAACTGGATGAGCCTAAGGTCCCTTCCAACCCAAATTATTCTATAAT